TTCGTACAGCATGCAACACGCTGACTCGTTTAATTGTTACAGGACAACACCACTATGTACTCTACTACATATAGCTCGCTATCCTATAGTTGACCCCATTGCATGTATTCACTGCGCTCTCGTAGATCCCACCGGAAATGTGCGCTGCGGGCGCCCGCCCGCTCTAGGGGCGGGGGAGTTCTGACGGATGGCGGGGATACCGCCAGACGTACACCTGACCGGCGCAAGAGGCGAGACCCAGGGGCGCAACCGCACCCAAAGGCCGCAGGTTTATAGCCCGTTCCCTTGCCTTAAATGGCCGGGACTGGGCGGACGTCCGCAACGCACCTTTCCTGAGCCCTGCCCCCTTCCACACCATTTACGTACTCGAACGTCTCACTCTCGCCCCTGTCTGTACCCTGGCACATCCCCTTGCACCATCCCTCATCGACATCTCTCCCACCACACACCCTTAGATTGCATGAGCATCCTGCTCAACTATGTCCTGCCGACCTCCATCATCACCCAAGTAGACAACAATGTATTTACTGCCTACCATGAGGCTCGGCCTCGCAGGGCAATAAACGGGATCTAGAAGAAGAAGAAGAACGCTGGTGCAGAAAGACTGACGCTTAAGCCAGAAGCTGTCCCATGGCGGTCTGAACACGGAAGACTTCATAGGCACGAAGTTCATCCTGCACCCGCTGAGAATTTTACACAGGCGCTCGCTTCTGGGGTTTATGGTATCATTGAATGCCAGTGTGGGTGTCCTGCGAAACGCTCCTCTGCTGTCTCCTACTAATTTTCCAATTCTGCCCCTGTATAATTCACTGTGCATCACATCGGAAGGTCCAGTAACCCTGGCGTTGCGGGAGGCATAGTGTTGCTGGAGGAGTTAATCCTCCCAAGACTGGTATTATCAAACCCAGCCAGTGGCAGATTCTCAATTGCACGTGACGCGGGACGTCATGCGGGGGGTTGGGAAAGCCAGCAGAACGCTTGCCTCCGTCTCCTGTAACAGTAGTGCCTACGCCCCCTCCGGCAGTCTTCTGGACGCTGAGCTGCGCGCGGTGTCTGCGAAACACGGGTACACTACTGGCCTAGGTACAACTCGGTACCAGGCGCATCGAAGGTTCTGCAAACGCTACCTCGCATGATGGGATATCTTAAAGATGAGTCGGTATTCTGAGTACGCTAGGATAGGAAGCAGAGCGGATATGACAGGCTATCGTCCCGCGAGCGAACAAGGAAGCATCGACGGACAGCTTCCACTCCTCCATGGCTTCTACGCATGTTCCCGGACTAACACCATGTCTATATCCAACCCGCTCATCGCTCTCATCTATTCCCTTGTCGCTATAGCACTTGGTTCTCCATAGAGTATGCTATTTTCGAAAGGTGGGACCTTCGCGGCAAGGTGAGCCTTCGCAAGTGGTTGTCGCCGACTGCGCTGAGTGACCTAATTTATCAGCCCTGCTTCATCACAGGAGGCTCAATTGGGACGAGCCTCGCACTGACATTCTACTTGCTCACGTCTCCATCGTTCCTCACGAGAAGGGGAAGTAAGATAGGGGTGTGAAGAAGCTCCAGGTGAATGGCGTGTCGTTTCCTACCCAACTGGCATTGTGATTCATAGCTGTGTTATTGCTATGTAGAGTGCACATCATTATGGCACCTATGTGTTCAAGGCATATTTATCTCTGTCGATTCAGAGGACGGGTTAGCTGCAGCGCTGAACGCGGCAGAACGTCATGGTGGGCGGTGCCCGGACGCACTATTTCTATGCGCCGGCGCATCCCGCCAGCCCGGCTTCTTCGTAGACGCTTCGAGAGGGCATACAGGTCGCACACGGCACGCAGTGTTATACAGTTCTGGTGAGTATCCGTCTGTACATGTCCGGGATGGTCCATGTGTTCGGGAGTAAAGGAAACGCTCAAGCAAGGCGTCGAGGGGAAGATCATATTCTTGTCCTCCTTTCTCGGATGATTTTCCTTCATAGGTAACTCAGCGTCCTCGCCAGGAAAATTTGCGCTTCGAGGTAAGGTCTCAATTCGCTTGATAGCTCACTGGCTACTCAACTGAAATTCGAACCGGGCAGAGTTGGGTGAGAGTCTTCGGTTCACAGTCACTACTCAACTGTTCTAGTCGCCTTCGGCGTGAATGAATTGCTTTCCGTACGTAAAAGTGCCATTTCCCTTCAACTGCCCTATCTCATGAGAGTATCCGAACAATTTCACCTTCCACTCCATGTCTCAATTTCCATGTCTTCTGGCGCCATCGATGACACGACACGGGCTAGAAACTTGCCCGGATGGCCTTCCTTGCGACTGCCGTGATGCGGGCGATGTCTTCTGATTGATATATCTTCTTAGCTCGTGTCAGAACGTACCGCCTATGCAGCTGTTTCACAGTACGCCCACAAGTCATAACAAGCGCTGTCGTCCATTCGGCGAGTCTTGCCTGCGATGGTCATCTCCGGCCCCCGTGAATAGCAGATCCTATCGCCGCACGTACACCACTTTGTAATTCCAGTGAAAGTGCGGGAGCCCTCCGGCACTTCCAAAGGCTGACACTTGTCTTTTGTGGGATTCAACATGCTCGGCATTCCCTAATCTTCTGCTGTGTATGGCTTGGTGTAATGATTGGAAGCGTAGTAGAATTTTGAATATCGATGTTGCAAAATCTCGGAAGATGCTCCACAGATAGATCATTGCTGCTTCTTGCTTGAATTTTCAAGCGCATTTCTCGCGTACTGCCTTGAGCATTTGGGAAGACGGCTAAAACATCCTTGTGGGTCCATCGTGGGATCATAATTGTCTACCGTCAACGGCATGCATGATGGGGCCGGGGCTGCTCATTATCGCCTTGCCTTCGTAGCCCGCCCCATTCTCGATGGTATGGGCTGTACATCCCTCTTCTTGCAGGGGTGCGTCCCAGATCATATGATCATTTCTGATGAACATTTGATACAAACTTGTAGAAACAATAGGATTCGCTTGTACGTTGCCACACAGCGAATGGGTACTGATTACACGTTCCCGGCATCGTGATAAACAAATCGTGCAATGCGCCCAGCTCGTAGGCGCGAGGTACACATGAACATCGTACTTTCTCATTGCAGTGTTGGTATGTGATGGTCATCATTGGACGTATGGTACATGCTCTCTTGTTCAGCATTCTAAGCCAGAGATCTTCCGTACCAATCTAGGCTCGGGCTGGCCTGCTCTTCAGAGCGCTGCACGGGGCCATACAGCCCCATTCAGGATCTGAGTGAGCGCCGCTGCGACGCCGTCTGGGTTCTGTTGCACGACCTGTCCTAGACGTCATTTACTCCTCGAAGGCAGCACAACGGTCAAACACTCACGAAATGAGCAGCATCCGGCACCCTCTGCACGGACGCAGGGGGCCTGACGTCTATGACGCCTTGATGCGTGTAATCAGGCCTGAATTTGCGATGCTCAGCAACACCGGAGAATAAGAGCTCTATGAGATACCTCACATGACATCATGGTCCGTCCCGAGGACGAAATGGATTGGGAGTGATCGGTCAAGCGTTTTGAGAAACTCGACAACGACAAAGTGAGGTTCAATGTTGACGAAGGCGGCGCTTTCTTGTGCCTTAGGAGTCGCGAGTGCCACCTTCCCTGTTTGAACTCCATCATCTTCCGCCTCCGTTAGACCATGACGCTACATGGGTTTCAGTGAGATGAAGGTCATCCCTCGCATGAAGCAATCATAAACTTACAACGTAGATGTCAAGGATACGGGGATCCCACGTGTTCCATGGCAGACGTGTCTCAAAGTACTCCCTCGCCTCCTCGCGGCTGTTCCACGTGTCGCGCCGCTTCATGGTAGCTTTAGCGAGGAATTTCAGCGCACCCTGCCTATCTTCCATATGCTCTTTCCACGACTCCTGTGTGATGAGGGAAGGCTCGACTAGCACGATATACTTGTAGTTCACCGGGGGCAACTCGCCCGGCATAAGAGAGAGGAGACTAACTCGTCAGCTTTCTCATAATCATCTGATGTAGTACGAGAATAACTCACACTAGTGTGGCTCCGAGGGAATGAGCAATAGCCACAAGCTGGTGTCCCTCGAAGACGCCAAGCTTCACAAACGCTCTGAATCCCTCAGTCCACTCGTTCACGGCTATGGCGAACAGCCGAGATGCGCTGCTCAGTTATAGTACCTGACGGACTCTCTATAACACATACTTAGCTCTGCACTCCTGAGCACCTCTTTGTTGTACTTTGCAGCCTCCCCATGGCTTGGCATATCGAAAGACCACGCCTCGTGTACAATCGGCTTTCCATTCTTATCAGCCAGGCCAAGTAAATGGGCGATTATGGTCTCCCACACTTCCTTGTCTATGGGCGAAAAGATCGCCACTTCAGAATCTCCAAAAAACCATATTGAGTGTAACTTACGAGAGCCAGAGCAGTGAAAGAAGACAAGGGTGACACCTTCCTGGTTGTACTTCTCCGGTGTATAGCACTTTCCTACAAACTTCAATCCATTTTTGCTTCGAAAAGAGGGAAATGTCTCGATTCTGGTCGTCGTACGGTAAGCCATCTTGAGGATACAGTGAGGGAGGGCTGTGCCGACGTTGGGGAGGAGGAAGGTAGTCTAAGAACAGCCGTCTATCGATTGCCGTGAGTTGGACGAAGCCAGCGCTCGAGAAGGGTAGAGCCGCGATGCAGTATTGACAGCGAACATCAATAGAATGAAACGATAGAAGGCCTTCCCATGATCGTGGGTACGCGGTCCCAAGAATGGAGATACTAAATACCCCATCTGCAACGGCGCAATGCGCGGCATCGCCAGAAAGATGGGCAGAACGAGCGCCGAAACCTAGGATCTAGGGGAGCCGTCTTCTGGAACATGTGTCTGACCGGCACTCAGCAGTTGCGGAAACTAAACTATATGCGCTTGAGTGAACCCGGCTCTCCTATGTGTACCGTCACGACTTGGTCTCTAGCATACGATGAACTCGCTACTATGTTGTACATACAACAAGATGTCGGAATACAACGGAAGGGGATATCATCGCCAATCACACGTCACTCTTCATGCCCGTGATCAATGGTGACTGTTTGAGGTGTCTGAGGAGTTGAGTCTTTCGGGTTGGAGTGACCCAAAAGCATGGCAGTCTTTCCCTGAATATGGATGATCGCGTTCCCCTGGAATGCAGCTGATAAGATGGGGCAACATGACGAACATTGAATGTTAGACGTACCTCAGCGTCGCGATTCGCATGTCCAGGAGGGTCAGCGCGCTTGAAATCAATTGACTGGCGAGTGCGGCGAGTCTCCGCTTGCCTCGTGGTTCGGTTCATGACTTCCATACCTAACGTTACCGTATCAAAAAGATCATGTCTGCCCTTCTCCAATATCGAGTTGCGAGAATTGAGCCTACGTTATGGTGATAAGTACACGAGAATGTGATCGGCCGTAAGTACCCACACTGCAAGCGTAGAATTGGCATACACTGTGGGACGAGAAGTGTTGTCAGATGGGAAGGGATGAGGGATGATGAATGTATTTTACTTCTCGTCGCCACAACGAGAATGGCACTGTATACGAGGTTGTCCTTCATTGTTATAGCCTATACGATGTGACGTGAGATATGAGCTGCAAGGTGAAGTGATCGAGGCGCATACACAGATAAGCGCTACGGTGGTGAGCAGGCTTCACCACTAACATGTCAGCAACAGGACAGTCACGTGCGCCTATAAAGGATTACCTCGTAGAGAGTCCTTGGGGTACAAGTAAGTCGTTGTTGCACATAAGACATGAGTGTACTCACCAGTATTGATAGCGTATATCATCAGGACATCGACAAGTGAGTCCGTCCTGGTGTAGAAATCATCAGGCCTGGTGTTGTGGATAAGAGTCTTTGAAGGCAAACTTCTTGAATCCCGTACGGCTCTTCCGAAGGTAGTATGTGAGACTGGTGGTTGTAACTACGTCGACAAGTACGGCAATTGAGAGGGTTGACCAGACCAGCCACTAAACAGAAATCAGGACGACTCCGACTATGCAGCTGATGGACACACACCGTGTACTTTTCGAACGTCTTGAACATTGGATGCATGAACCACTCCACAGCGGAAGCTATAGCAGCACAAATTTATCGCAGCACGAAGTTAGTCAGAAAGTAGATGAGCATGACAGAGGTCAAACCTAGGCACAGTGCTGTGAGGAGCGCGCAATAGTGAGTCCAGGTCTGCTCAAACGAGGAGGACTAACTAGCCTAATTCTCCGAGTATGAGGACCATCTTTTGAGGCAAGACTTAGTGGAAGGTATATATTGAGAGAGAGAAGAGATGGGGAGCTCACGATAGGGACTGCAGGAAAGAGCTTGCGGCCTCCCACTGGATTCGTTTATAATCAATACACGGAACCAGAGAATGGACAGACGACGCACATAGGAACATGCGACGAGTATAGAAGCTGCGATGGATGTCTCTATCAAAACAAGGTCATTCCAAAGGGCTTTTTGCGCCAGTCATACCTGTGAGCGATGAACATCATGCACCCCTTTGCACGAGCAGATTTCAGAGTCAATGCTTACTAGAGAGTAGGTAGCTTACTCACCATCTCTGCGAACATCAGCTGTGAGAGACAGATCTCCTTCAGCAATTGAATTTTCCCGCTCTCGATGTTCGAGGCTCACCTTGATTGACCTTGACGTGGGCGGGTGCGGATGTTCAGCCTTTCACACTCTCATGCAGAGCAACGGACGCACCAAATGCCATCGTAAAGTCGCTGTGGATGGAAATAATTTGTCACAAGATAGAAGTACCTGTAGAAAAGCGGAATTCAGAAGAAGCTGTGCATGCGATCGCGTTAACACGTACACTACGTGAACGCTAGAGATAGTGTGCAGCAGATCGACGCATCTTATCCCAAGAATGAGTGAGTGAAGCTGCAAGCTAGATCTGCCCATCTCACAGAACTGCGACAACCTGAGCAGGAATAACCGTTAGGGATATGTCGTCAAAGGTGCAGGCGTTGAAGGAATTACCATGGCTCTTAGCAGCTGGAGATCCTTTGGATACATCCGGAAATACCGATACGTTTGGTGCAGGGTCAGGCCAAAGAGCCTGCAAGTAGAGCTCGATCAGCTTTGCCATGCTGGGCAGATTACTGACTCCCTACTCACATGCATGCCAGAAAAGTGCACACAAGGTATGCACCGAACGTCCTTGGAAGGTCTATGGGATACTCAGCTCGCAAGAGCGGAAGGAGAGGAATGAGCTGGGCCAGCGGGTCAGATCCATCGGTAGCGTTGGTAGCTGCCATCTGGACTGGGACAAGGAAGGGTCCAGGAGCTATCCCGAACACGAGAACTTTAACAGTATGAGTGAATCTTTGAAGAATATGGTGATGGTTTGGGATACGCACTTATGTTTGCTCACAGGTACGCGCAGCCACACACGGCTACGCCTACCTACCCGATACGGCGTGGCGGAGCGGGAAAGATGCTGCAGCGGAATGCCTACATTCCCGGAGCGACACAACTTACGGATAGGCCCTCAAGATTCACCCACAAGTTGCATACTCACGATCCGAAACCACCGGGATGACGGGTCAGCAAAAGAACTGAAAAGCGGGCGTCTTATGGTTCGATAACGACCCTAGCTCATGCACAAATCTGGTTCCGGGAACAGTGCCCTCTCACAAATAACAGCGCTGGGGTAGCAGAGCAGTCAGCGCTGTTATCTGATTTTGGCATTCCGAGTCAGGACTGCGGGTACAAATTCGCACGGCGACGCTTGACAAGACTGAACCTGTTACCATAGATGTAGGGCTGCCTGCCACTCTATCAGCACCAGTAGCCTCTGTTCAGAGGTATTGAGGCAGCTTTTTCAAAAGTCTCGCTGCGGTTGATCACAACTCGAAAACCGCTATCTCCTCAGTCTCTGGGACGTTGGTAGTGTAGGGTCGACATGTCGCGGTAAGTCGTACTCACATTCAACTTTGAGACATGGCTCGGGTTTCTCGGAGCTATTTGTCTCCGTTGTTCTAGACATCCAGCCAATCGATATGGTCAATTGGTGCCATAAACTTTGTGTAAGAAGCGCTCACAAATTGACTCCGGCGTAGCCGGCCGTTCCGAGCCTCCGGTCATCGCTAACGCATCACTGACATTAGTCCTCTCGTCTCCTGTTGCGTACAACGACTTCGTCCATCGTTGTCCTTGGGATAGCGTGAACGCTGGTGTCGGTGCTGTAGTATGACTTCTCGACGGATTGGCTTGTTTCTTGGCGAGTGGTCCCTTTGCACGAGCTCCGACACGGCGGAGTCTTCTATATCGATCCGACTGACATCGGACATGCAACCTCTAGACTACTGGACTGGGAACGGGGACTGCTGGAACAGGCTAGGATCGCTTCTTCAGGGGGCTACCTAATTCTGTCAGCGCGAAACTTAGACGCTACGCTGGCTCCAGCTCTCATACGCCCACACTTCGAATGGCTCATGTGAGTTGTATCAAACCTATCTTTACAGCTCCGTGCGTGTTGTTGTTGTGCATATCACCGCCCCCATCACATGAAGCGGGATAGAACCGATTACTATTCCTTCGTCCCCCGGCTGTCTCTTCTTCGCGTCTGGCTGTACGCCACATGAAGGAGTTCATGTGCTTCAAGTGCATGGTTGAGGACTGCTGTCCTTCAGCTTCAGCGCCCGCCCTCAAACGAAGTTTCCGGTCTATCGGGGCGTCGTCTTCTTGACCACAATTCTACGTCTTCTGATGTACTCTGCCACAAAGAAGCGGCACTGATCATATGATGAGCAAACTCATTACAAGGGTGCCGTGCGGCCGTAACGGCTCAGTGCGGTCAGTTACACGCGTTGTTATAAGCGCCCCTGTGTCACGGTCGTGAGTTCGATACGGCAAAGCGACCACTGTTGCTCGGCACTTTCGGAACAGTCGGTATATGTGCTGTCGGGGAGTTCTGGCAGCCGCTTCCAGGAACGCTCTTACCCCTGAATTACTCTCACCCGTCCTGTCCTTCTGCCCCCGACAAGTCAGCCATGTCTCCCGGTGCATCTGCTACGCGTCAGTTATCGGGCACGACTTTCTGGCTCTCGTTCACCGCCGTTGTTGTCTGCAACTTCCTCAGCGCACTAGATATTACTGCTGTCTCTACCGCACTTCCTACCATTACCGATGAGCTCAAGGGGGGCGACAAATTCGTCTGGGTAGGCGCTGCATATGGGCTCGCTGCTGCAGCCATCCTCCCGTTCTCTGGTCGTCTGGCAGATACCTTCGGACGTCGTCCCTCCATGCTTGCCTGTGTCGCATTCTTCTTCGTTGGAAGCGCCCTGAGCGGGTCTGCAAAAAATATGAACTGGCTGATTGCTGCTCGAAGTAAGTCTGCATTGACCGTACGCTCACAATACCCACTCAAAAACTCATAGCCGTGCAGGGTATCGGAGGGGGAGGCATCATCAATCTCGCGTCCATCATCGTCTCCGACCTCATTCCTCTCGCTCAACGTGGAACGTACCAAGGATTTCTCATCCTTACATGGTGCTTTGCGGCGGCGATTGGTCCGATTATAGGAGGAGCATTTGCCGAGAAGGCGACGTGGCGTTGGTTGTTCTGTAGGTTTATGTATCGATTTTTGTGGCATAAACATCTCACTTTTTCATCTACTCAGACTTGAACCTGCCATTGGCGGGGATCGCATTCGTACTCGTCGCATGCTTCCTCCGGGTACGAACGCCACCGGGTAGCCTCCGTGAAAAGCTGGTTCGCATAGATTTGCTGTGAGTTTTTTGGATATCCCTCATCGCCCCTATATCGAAGCCTTCCGTGTACAGGGGAAACTTTATCATCATTGTTGGGACCACCCTCGCGCTGGTCGCATTGACCTGGGGAGGTATCCAATTTCCTTGGAACTCGGCGCATGTTCTTGCTCCCCTCATTGTTGGCTTCTCCTTCATCGCTCTTTTCTTCTTGTACGAGAGTCTGGTACCGAAGGAGCCGACCCTCCCCTTTGATGTTTTGGCGAATCGAACTAGCTTCAGCGGGTCAGTAATCATGCATTATCAACGTATAAAATCCCCCCCTGATTGGCATCTTAGATATTTCTCGACATTCTTGCACGGCATCGTCAGCATCACCACCATCTGTACGTACTAGATAGGCTATGACGCACGCTGCGCTGACCGCATACCTCAGACTACTTCCCTGTGTACTTCCAAGCGTGCATGAACGCATCGCCTATACGTTCGGGCGTCATGCTCTTCCCTACGGCCCTCGTGAACTCACCTTTCTCTATTGTCGCCGGCATCATCGTCAAGCGGTCTGGAAAATATAGGTTCCCCAACTACGCTGGTTGGATCATCATGTTGATTGGCTTTGGCCTGCAAACAATGTTGAAGGCTGACTCCTCGACCGGCCAGTGGGTCGGCTTCCAATTCCTTACTGCTGTTGGAGTCGGTCTCATAGTATGTCATGCTTTACACCCCAATTAGAGGATACCTGACAGTCCTTCACAGTGGGCGAGTACAATCTTTCCTATTCTTGCTCCGATCCCTGTGACGCGGGTCGCGTCGGCGCTCGCCTTCTACAACTTCTGCCGAACGTTTGCTCAGGTTAGTGATTGAACGGAACAGCGAGTGACACTTTCCCTTACTTCCAATCTATTCAGACTTGGGGAGTCACCATCTCAGCGAGCATTCTTCAGAATGAGCTGAAAAGGCGTCTCCCATCTCAATTCCTCGCTATGTTTCCTGACGGCGCAGAAATCGCATACGCTGCAATTCCCCTAATACGCACACTTCCAGACGACCTCCGGAACGAAGTGCGCGATGCGTTCGCGTCAAGCTTGGCAATCGTCTGGAAAGCCATGGTCGGGTTCTCCGCAGCAGGCTTCCTTACGGTATTCTTACTTCGCGAAGTCACGATGCACAGGACTACGGACGAGACCTATGGCCTACAGGAACAGGGGCCACTATCTGAGAAGCCCTCGGACTTGGAAGACTCGCCGAATACCAGGGGCTTCTCGGACGAGCTGACCACTGCGTAGGTAGTTCTCGCATGTAGTTCTGACCTGCCGCACGTGGTTCTGCGCTTTCATTCTCGCTACATATGTATCTTTACTATGACTGGAGTATCTCCGTTCAGCAACGTACGAAGGCAGCCGCCGCGTTCACCGTTGATGGTGTGCACGAGTCTTGGTCCCAGATCGCTCTGTTCATTATGCAATCTCTTCAATGAGTAGCACACAATTCATCGTATACCCTATACTAGAATTAGGCCCGCTCCTGTCTCGGAACGGCGTGCTCTAGATTGAACGCTTTCGTATGCCAAAATAGGGTGTAGTGGAATTGAAAGCCAACATTCATACAAGCAGATCCGTCCAATGCAGCGATGGCCAACATGGTACCATACAGGTACGAATTATGACGTTGTATGTTAAGGGGATTTAGAAACTACCTGCGCCGACGCCTAGACTCAACTTAGCGGGTGCGCTGTCAAGGTTTGCGGTCAAACGCCACTGTCGCGTGTGATAGATCTTCTAGAGAAAGAATATTACCGCCCCATTCCGGCGCGTTGGTGGGCCATCCGCCGCATGTATGCAAACCGAGAGTGTGGGACGGGCCACACCCTCGTGCAAACGCTTCCCACCATCACCATGTCAGCCCACAGGCTCGTCACTAAGAGGTGACCTATGCGCGCTGTTATCATCCTCAGGTGTCTATTTGAAAACTGCAGAACCCGGGCGAAACTTGTACACGAAATGAGTCAAATGCATCTAGACTCAGGGAATGGACGAACGCTATCAAACCATGACACGGAAACACGGAAGGCCTGTTGAAGCTGCGACGGAGTCGGCACTTCTCTTCCCGCTCTAAGTCTGCCCGTCTGAATACAGTTTTGACTGCGACGCATGAAGACCAAATTTGGCTCAGAAGGAACGTGTGCCAAGAACAAGTCCCGTGCGTAAGCTTAATCCCCTTGCACGATGTCAGTCTGTAACAGCCTGAGGCGCTGCTCCCATAAATAGAACGCATCTGTCCCTGCAGTGTAAAATGCGGTGTTATAGTGTCCCCGAACTATCGAACAACATCTTGAGGCACGTAAATTGCTGCCGGAAGCCACTGCTGTTGAACTTCTCTTCGGTGAAACGGTTGCGGATTACACCCGTGCACGATAACATGGGAAGCCCACTGTTGCCTACTAGTACCGCCCACTGTTACCCGCCGCCCCATCTTTTCGTTCCTAGGAGACTCCACAATAAACAGATAGATCTCCGCCGAGCCGAGCATGCACCGACTTCTGAGATCAAGAGACGGCTTCTTGAGGGGGTTTAGGTTAGTGAGTTCCGCATGCACCTACTGGCTTGCCCAAGAAATCCAGAGTCTAACAGAGTAGGTATGCTCTCAGGATAGTAACCGATGGAGTACCGCTTAGGTATCTAGTGGAGATGTATGGTCAGAATATCAACCGAGTGCAACAAAATGTAATTCTTGAGGGAACAGGTGGCGGTGATACTGAGAATTTCGAGAGGATAGATTTAGGTCAAGACCGAGCGCCCGGTTGATTGGGCGGTGCTTCCCATGCGTATCCACACATACACACGACAGCCTATAGCATCAGCTAAGGCCCCCCTCAGTCGTATCACGCTGGAAGGGGGCGATGTGCAAGTAGCGTCTGGGTCATCAAACTCTGGTCGCCTGCTCACTGGCTAGAGGTCTTATACGTGCCCCGCCCTCCTGACGCGCAGCCTGCTCTCTATGTTTATGACCCATGGCTACATCGAACTCTAGCGCCGTTTTTGTCGCAAACCCATTGGACAACATCCCACGTATCTCCGTGGACAATACCTTTGGAGCACTGCTGTTGGCGACTTGTATCGGCCTCACGTCTGTCCCTTCTCAACCACTTGACTCCGAGCGAAGAGCCGAATGTGACCGCTTCCTTCCCTCGCAGATTGTTCGGTCTGAATGTGCATCAAGCGTACCGGTACTTCCGTTTGTATCCTACTGATGCTCCGCTGTTCAAATGGGTGGTAAGTTCTTTACTTTCGCTTTCCATTGAACAAAAGCTCAAAAACGAATCCAAGGTCATATCAACGATGTAGTAGCATCCTTTCCTCCGTGCTCTCTACCGCCTGTTGACACCTCTTCTGGCTAGGACACTGGAAGTGGTTGACACCATTTTGGAGACCCACGCTAGGTATTTACTTTGAGCCACATATTACACGAAACGCACTGAAACTTTCCAGCTATTACTATTTAGTCACGAACTTCTTCAACCCAATAGCTCTGGAGAGGGGTGTGTGGTAAGCGAGAATTTGGTTGCTACTCCGAAGTCATCTGACTCGAGCGTGACTATAGGTCGCTTAAGGTACGTCGATACATGAATAAACTTCATTCGATGAGTACCTGGTTGACATGAGGATATAGCTTCTCGCTCTTAGTATGGTGAGCGATCTAACATTGACAGTAGTCATCAAGGTGCTGAGCATGCGAGTCATCATCAGGGTACCACGATGTTTGTCACGCAAATGTGAGCTGTCGCCCTATCTTATCCTTCCGATCATCTTGAGTATAATAGGTTCTTTGCTCGACGAGTCTACCTCAGTGCGTACATCCGTCATTAGTTACGTCAATGCGCTAATCTTCACCGCAGTTGGCTCCAACTACCGCATCATATCTATCATTGCAGTGAGCATGACTGCCTACTACATTCCCATTCCTATACTAAGCATAATCCCAGAGTATACTGTTGGTAGGGGAGCTGGGTGGGTTAAAAATCTCGACAATCCAAGTCCGTTGACATGAGAGATCTCATTGCGACTTTCAGCTTTTGCGGCAGGTATGTCATCCCGCCACAGTGGAACTCGGGCTGCAGCTGCAGCGTTCATCTACTCACCATCACGCATTTATCTACTTCCTAGCGTATACAATTGAGACGTGAGCCTTGTAGTTTGAGGTGTGCTCAACACTTCCTGACTCGGAGCACAGGTACATCCAAGTCACCTTCTTGAACTTCTACAACGTCTCACCGGTACGTTCTCGGGTGTTTCTTCGTGGTATACGTTGTGGTGTACTTGACATTGGCGAGATAATAGTGGGTATCTCCCGGAGTCTACGCTATGGCTGCGGCAGCAGATGGACTAGTAGCCACATCGCTTGTCCTGCTTGTTAGGCGCACTCGCAAGAACTTGAGGAGGTACGTGACATACCATAAAAGGCAAGAAGGAGATGCATATCATGCAGCAGGGTCGAACACCACATGGATGTGGTAGTCGTCTATGTAATGAATACGGGTGAGGCTTGAGTACTCGATTGGCCCTTGAACACATTACTCAACATTCCTACAGGGCTACTCACTAGGTAATGTCACGACGGTACATGCTGTCCGATTGGAATACTCAGCTTATTCCCTGTAGTATCCTGAGTGTTCTATCTCTCATTTTTGTGAGTTTCTGATTATGTCGGAGACCGTTTTCACTTCTCCGAATACCGCAATCTTCTATAGACCATTCTCTATACGCGGAACCTCATATACGCTGGCTTCAATATTGTGGCCACCAGATGTGAGCATGTTACGCGAGCATTGTAAATTATCGCTCACCTTCTTCCCAGTGTACTCTAACTCTCTGCTCGCTGTGTGAGATGCCCTCAGTTATAGGGAGCTCTGCTGTGCGCTGACAGTGTTCTAGCTTGAACTCTCGTAGATCTGAAAAGGATCATGGAGCGGAAGGGTTTGAGACTGGTTCCCTTGGTCTCACAGTGCTACGAAAACGACAAAATCAGGTCGTAGCCGACCAGTGGAACATCCCCCAGGTGCGTAGAAGACAAGGTCGAGATAGCGTCATAACTAATCAGGAATCAATCAGTTACCCGAGCTACCTAACGTCATAGATATCAAAGTCACAACCGAGATGATCGCCGACGGCGGGAATGAAGACAGGAGCGGGGATGGTACCAGCGTCCAGGACGACCAAGACATAAGTCCAAAGCAGTCTGGCCAACTGACATTATGAGATTGTTCTTAGCTACCCATCCTGATAATGATATGCTTAGATAGGTCTCTAGTGGTAAGCGAAGACGTGGTCGACTAGGCTGTATGTGTAGTACCGGGAAGGACCGAATTTCGAACGCCATCTGCCCAACTCGCGACCGACATTGCCTTATCTGCGAGATGCATATGGCTTGAGCGTGGTGTCTGACATCTCGTCCTCCTTTGCTTCAGCCATAACGTTTCTCGACCATAACCCATGGGAGCAATACCGGGGATGGTATTCTGAGCGCCATTCACACTATCCGGAGATCCCCAGACGCACTGGACGGTCCCGCTTCCTCTCGCTCTGACATGTCGCTCACTAACCATGAGTCCAAAGTGGGTAAGGCTAGTGGCCAGATCCTCTCCGGTAAACTCAGCGACGTGTCTGTTTTGTGCATTTGTAACCCCACCCAGTCAATCTACGGGTTGGGACGAATGCTTGAAGTACCCACGAAAAATTTTGTCTGCACCCGAAGCGTCAAACATCGCCACATTACCCTCCGAATTCTTCGGGTAGCAGGCTACCACATACCTCATCAGCACGCCTGTAGACTAGCATGATTTCTTCGCGCCTCGTCTGTGGTGCCTCCGATGCCAGGGTGGTGGGAGTATCTCCATCAGCGCTTCTCAAGATCATCTTATATTACAGGCACACGGGATTGCAACTGTCAAACTCTTCCGTGGAATATGAGTGGCGTTATCGGTGTCACCACGTAAGTCTAGGCCCCGTCGCGAAGGCACCCCTCAAGTAATCGATGAGGAGATAATGATGCCGCTCAAAGCTCCGGCACATTGAGGAAGCGTCCTTGGATCTTCCTAAGATACAGCTTTGAGGAACCTGTGATAACCCGCCGGGTGAGCAGAGCCGAAAGTACGTGAGAACCTAGAAAAATTAGCGCTGAATCAAGGGGGCTTAAGACGGCGGCATGTCAACTCTGTTCAACGGCCGCTCACCTGCAAGCTGTCTCGCTTCTTCTTCCTCCGCAGAACACTGGAATACCCGGGATGTGGGGCACGGGCAGCTCCCTGTGTTGCGCTGGGGCTATCACCGGAATAGTGAGTTCTCGGTTTTCCTTTCCTCCTTCAGCCATTGATGCTCGATACACTCATTTATACCTTCAATAGGCATCATGGATATGCTTCAACAAGCGCGCTATACGCGGAGACCACGCTGTAGGACTCTACCTGTCTTTTTGCGTGGCTTTCTACCTGGTAGCTAGAATAACTCCGCCATTGTCTGGCTTTCCACTCCAAGCGACGTTCTTCACTGCGTCGGCGTACTTCATTTCACTTGCTTGCACCACCATATTGTATCGTTTGTCTCCATGGCATCCTCTCGCCTCCTATCCGGGGCCGTTACTGTGGAGAATGAGTAGTATGCGATTGTCTTACGATACATTCTGCGGAAGACGATCCCGAACTCTGCATCAATTTCATGCCAAATATGGTCCTTTCGTCCGCATAGGTGAGTTATCAGAACGCGGCCGGGCTCGCGCTTCTTGACGGTTTTGTGTCCACAGGACCCAATATCCTCTCCATCAACTCTCCGTCTGGCGCATCTATTTATACTGCCATGGAGAAGAGCGATTCATATCGTTTCCCAAGTAATGACGGCGTGGTGGCGATGTTCTTTAAGCAAGACACCAAAGACCTCCATCGAGAACGGAAGCGCATCTGGAATGGCCTATTCTCACCAAGCGGGTATGTTATTCGGATGGCTGAACGTAAGATACTGCTGACTTTGTTTGGACATTTGACATAAGCCTTGCGCAGTTAGTTCCCTCGCTGGAGCAGCGGACGTGGGAGTTACTACAATGTCTCGAGCGTCGACAGTCCGGAAATGGTGGATGGGTTGACATCCCAGAGGCCTTCTATCATTGGTCCCATGATCTGACGGTAATTCAACAGCTTAGCTCCACTGAAACAGTTCGGAAATAAAGCTTGGATTTGCAGGGCGATATTGTATTCAGCGGGTGCAATGAATTGGTATGTCGGAACGGCATGTCATTTCTATCGAATCCTGAGACATTTGTCTGTAGGAGCTGATGAACAACGGTGACCCCCATGGTATCATAAACGCCGGGAAGATGGCGAATGCCGTGCATGAGAGGTGTGCGCTTTGATCACAGTGTCTGCTTGGCCTCTGATTACTCTCAAAGCTTCGGGCAGAGTCCATGGCTCCTCGAATTAGTTCGGTGCATCCCAATTGGACGAGAAGTGCACGGATTTGTTGGCCTTGCGGCGGAGATGACACGTAACAGGCTCAAAGCCGTGGACTTACCGCCTTTCCGAGACCTCATGTCTTATCTGGTTTGTTGTGTCACGTCTAGCATGCTCTTCGTATACATCTGACTCTGGTTAGATTGAGGCTGGTGTCCAAACCAAGGACCTCGAGAGGGATGCAATCGTTGCTATTTTGGGAGGTACTTATCTGGCTCACATGACGATTCGATTCACTAACACGTGCCTTAAGCGTCGGACAATACACCCGTCATGTTGGCATTGGCATGCTATTATCTGACTGCTGAGCCGCGGTGCTTCCGGAAGCTTCGCAAAGAACTGGAGCAAGTCTTTGCCGACCCCCTAGGCCCAATGCCCCTCAACACGTTGAGCAAACTTCCGGTGTTGAACGGGGTGATCGAGGAAGTCCTCAGATTGAACTCTCCTTACTTCATGCCTCGAGTCGTACCGCCGGGTGGAACTCATTTGGACGGACATTATATTCCTGAGAACACAATCGTCGCACTCGCCCCACATCTGCAGCATACAGATCCAGAGAACTTCTTTCCCGAACCATTGGTACGTTCTGGGAGCTCATGTGCGCATATATTTTCCAGCTAAGCTCACATCACTCCTTGAATGATCGCAGAGTTTTCGTCCAGAGAGATGGATGCCGCAAGGCTTGGGTCCCTACACCCGGACCAACAAGTCTGTGCTCGCGTCTTTCTCTTTCGGTACGTATACCCTAGTAGCCTCTACCTCCGCGTCTTATGCATGCTGCAGGTCCCCACGCTTGCATTGGAAAGACGCTCGCATACCACGAGATGAGATACGTTCTATCTCGCATGGCCTTAATCTACGACATGGAATTCGCGCCCGGATTCGATTGCCGGGCATTTCGGAGCGGCATCGTCAATATGCGAACTACATACATGAAAACGCCCCTTCGCATGAAACTCATCCGAAGACCTGGTATTGAATTCGAAGCCCTACTCGAAAAGCTCTCTTAGATTTGCAGGACGTCATTGGCGAGGCTGCCCATTCAACTCGTCAGTTAGTCGTCGAAATGCTTCCTTACCCTGTAGATTCGGGTGACTACCCAGCTTGAAGCTGCGGTTTTTGTGATCGCCAGCATCTTACTCAACTTTATTGTATGATAGCCATTCACCTTACTGGGAGTGCCCTTTATGGTTGTCCTTGGTATTCCCCTACTCATAAACTACCGTAGCCAGAATTATCTGTGGACAGCACGTCATCTGAGCGAATGATGGAGTCCGGAATCGGGCAAATCAAGGAACACACGGGCAGTGCAAGGGGCGTCATCTGAAAGATAACGTGCGTCACAGAAGGACAAGACTCTGACGTTATCATGTCCGTTAGACTGGGAACCCAATAGACAACAGCCTTGAATGACAGTCATTGGATGATATAAAAAACTTCTTCGCACAGCCCTTGACGGCCCATCCTTTCGACGGTATAAGCACCCCTCAGCGACAGCGTGCCCCTTTCTGCAGCGCTGATGATGCTATGTGAGTAATAGTATCACACCCGCAATATTTTCTCCAAAACACCATTACCCTTTTTTTGCACATTCGAATCAGACGGGAGTAGGAGAAATACGGACGGTGGGAAAGAAGTGGAGCGTGGGTGTATGTACATCAGTTCCGAGTATAAGATTCCCTCGCCCCTGGCCGTTCGTTCCACCCCCAGACTCCTCTCTCTCCGACTTCAGAGAAGAAGAAATCACTTGGGCCGCTGTTCCCTTCGTGTATGTGAGCATAATAAACGTCCCAATCAGGATGGTGCCATCCTGATAGGGGCGGTTATTCAGCTCACGTGAATCTCAGAGGCATGAGATGAGGATGATTCGGTCCAAGGTCTATATCTTATGAACCATGGTGATACCCTACTTCTGTAAGCCACGGCCAATCTGCTAAGACGGTGGCTCTAAGATTAGTCTTGACTCATGCAAAATGCTGAAAGTAAGGTGTAAATATTGTCGACAGAAGTGCGCGTGATCCGGAGAAGGGGGTTCTGGCAAGGACGATCCAGGAGTGTCACGAGTCTCGGGGGCGTACCTATGTAGAATGATGCCGGAAGGGGGTAGTCTTCAGCCGTAAAGTCAAACCGTACGTACTCAAAGCGTACAGTGGATGATGGAGGTGGGTATTGGCTGACATGTCCGGGAATGCATGCAGTCGTAAGGGGGGAGGATGGGAGATCGCGCATTGAATCAAAAAACAGAGCTGGCTGCATACTGTAGTGCTGGACTTCATCAAGACGCCTTTTCGCTGAAGGTTCAGTTCCCACAGTAGGCGCGATGAGGGGGCAGCAGAAACGGCAGCAGGAGCACAGGGAAGTGCGCAGCTGGAGATCAGGGCTAAAACATATGAAGTGTCCAGATTACACCTTCTACTACGATCACATTGGACTTCGATTACTATGCATTCGCAACAATCTCCACAGAACTGCGGCCTCCTACCAGAGATCAGAACACGACGGACTCTAGTATTGCGAGCGTTGAATTTGCAACTCCGCGCTATATCAGCGGTATTGAACCACTCACTGGAGAGCTATAAGGTCATCATCCATGGTCCTTTACCATAGAAGTGAACTCACCCCCATCTTGAGCTCAGACCATTACCTTTATCTCGCTGAGGTCTTGATCTTCCCGGTCCTGAACTGTTGTTGTTGGACGCACGAGACACTGGCAGGAAAGGCAACGGTCACTGCATAGACACTTCGAACTGCCGCCCATCTAGATGAGTCTCAATCTGCCGCCTTCATTGGAGTGATACACCATACTGATCTAGAAGAGTCCATCGTGGTGAAGATTGCCAGGTGACGCAGTAGCAATAGCGTGAACAGGAAGTGAGCAGAAACTTCAGGGATGAGAGGATGCGCCATGGCTCTGCCTGGTGTTCGATGAGGACATAAAAATGATTCTCTGTTTATGACCACACGAGTAGTTTAAAGGCTGCCAGAGAGCAGAGGGACCACTCGTCATACTCATCTTGCCATGAACATGATGCAGCTTGGGTCTGGCACTGAGAACCGTTCGGCTCTCATTCCTCCTGAAGTTCCTTCCTTGGACAACACATTCGGAGCCCTTCTCATTGGGACCATATGCACCTCAGTGTGAGTAATTACTGTTCCTTGATCGCGTCATTTCAGGAGCTAATGGGAAACATTGGCAGATTGTGGGGTTTATCGGCCCACCAACCCTATCGCTATTTCAAAACATATATCTTGGACCCTGTATTCCCGAAAGCCATGGAAAGTGGTCAGGAACAATCCCAAACCAATACGCTGACGAGCATACAGGTCTCGGTGTTTTGTGTCTTGGATGTAATCCACGAAATGATGGCCATGCATTTCTGGTGCGTCTTCATCCACTCAAAGTGACACGAGCATTCACCTACTACCAAGTTATTTCTACCTAGTCTCAAACTACTTCGATCCGATACGTCTCCTAAGCGGCATCTGGTTTGTATCCAATGTCCTCACATAATCTGCAAGCTAGAGCTGATATCTACCTGTCTTTGCGAGTGAGACGACATCGTTGTGAATTATGACAGAAGTACTAACACCTCGAGGCAGTTCATTGTCACCGTCACAGTAGGTTTATAGGATCGTTGGCGGACTACTCTGGCTGATTTTAAATCAGGGATTGATCGCAATGATCGCCCATCTGTACGCTCCTTTCTCCCGAATTCGATCTCCAAATATTTTCATCCGAATATTGACACCCCCTCCCTGGTCTAGATTCTTCACACGTCGTGTTTTTATCTGTACGACATTCCTTGCGGTACCACACATTGTACTCACAAGTGTCAGTATCCGGTCGCCCGAAACTGTTTCCTTTTTTTGCCGTAGGTCCAGATCAGTTACAGCTTAACGTTTAACCCTCACGCGGTCTGAAAGCAATATAGATCATCCTTGTGGTTGCCGAACTAGGCGAGTGCTACATCTCTGGGATACCATCGTTTCTGAGAACCTGTGGCTGCCTGGTAGCTTTCTGTATCAGTGAGTCATTGTAATGCTGGTCAATCGGTACGCTATACAGCTGACGACACACTTCTAGCTGCCACCATTGTAACGTGAGTCGACTCAGCACCATGTGAAATGCAGTGCATTCACATGGTCTAGCTTTGTCGACATCACCTTCGCGCGATGCCGACAGCACAGTTTTGTAAGTTCTTTTCAGCTACACCATTCAGCGTAAGATCGTGACAAGGCGATGCAGTGGATCATATACGCTGCGCTAGGATTGAGGGTCGTCACTGACCTCGTGCTTACCGGATCGCTCATATTCTTATTGCAAAGGAGTCGCACGAGATTCACGACGTATGTAAGCGTCTCAGGAGTTTCTTTGTACTAAAATATCCTTTCAGTACGGAACACATGATCGACATCTTGATCTTGTATGCTATCAATACGGGTCAGTTGGGTTCGAAACTATAGTTGGTTTTACACACTGACTTGCTTTATAGGATTAATCACTAGGTAAGGCCCCTTGGATCATTACTCAAGTCATGTATATGTACAACCATATTGCAGTCTCCTTAGCCTTGCAGCGGCAGTTGCGGTGGGTGACACTTCGGGGTGAGGTCATGATGAACAGGATCTAAGTCTCTTTGGTATACAGGCCGCGGTACTTCCGGATACACTCATCTATATCGCCATATATATCGTCTCGTCGAAGAGTATGTATTCGGGCTTGGAAGCCTATGGGTCAATTGATTGACTAGTACCTCCAGTGTACTCGACCTCTGTACTCGCCACGTCAGTGGAAGCCCATATAAGGCGTTGCTATACGCAGCACTGGCATTCAGTAGATTGAATTCCAGAAAGCGTCTCAGTCAACTTAGAGTGGGGAGGCGAACAAATCCTAGTAGTTGGTTGGACATGCATTCCCTAGACGTTCGCGTTCCCATCCCCAGTCATAGACACCAGCCTGAGGAGACACAGGTACGCATTACAGGGCTTAGTCCAGCTGGAGACTAGCATAACATTTCACACAGGACGCTATCGAGCTACAGATCAAGTCCACAGGCAGTGTGATTGGGAGTTCCAGCACGGTTGGAATCCGATGAATCGCCCTCTTGCTCCAGCCCCTCCCCTCCATGACAGTGCTTTTTGATGCTAACGACATAACCAATCGGTCAGCCAATGTAAACAAGCTATGCTCTGAAACATGAAACGATAAAAGCATAACAGTCCTCGACATATAGTATGTGCGAGGATCTGGCGGGCTGGCCCTAATGCGACACTCGTCGCTAGGCGATTGTTACAGGAATCATCGCGGGTATAGAAGGCCAGGTAGAGCAGTTCATAACATCAGCACTATCCACATCGCGTAAGAGGATGCTGACGTTTAAGAACCAGATCACCTTGGATCAAAACACGGCAGTGCCTTCAGACATATCATTATCCAAGGTTCGGGACTTGCTCGAATCGCTTACTTCTGGTCATCCGTCACAAAGGCATATTTAAGAAACACCGTCGTCCATTCGACTCTTGGGGCCGACAACGTGGTTGTCGATGACGTGCAGAGCAAGGCCCGGCGGCCCGATAGCAGCCCGGGGATCCAAGCTTGCACTGAGCGGCTCAAAGTCGTAGCTCCCACGAAGTCTAGCCTGAGTACAACCTGAAATTGACGAGGTATAGCGGTAACAGCGGTGGCCGGTGATGATGACTGATTTCTTCGGCTCAAGGTTACGATGATAGAATCATGATCATAGTGGTAGGGATGTGACAAGAGGGTCGGGCATGTTGCTAAAACGAACATACAACGAAGGACCAAGAGCAGATGCAGAGTGCGCGCAGAACCTATTGATACGTAGTAGGTCAGCTACACGTCACGTCAGTTGGTGCTGATATTCCGGTCATAGCAGGGGAACTCACCCGTTCGGCAACCCAGTCATCGATGTGGTCGGCATAAAGCTGGTGGAGTTGGAACGCACCCCAGGAAGACAAGGTGAAATGGCGTCAAGTTCGTACGGACGGACCATGCTCACCAACGAGGGCCAAGAGCAAGGGACCAAATAGCACCATCGCCAGTAGCATCATACTCCAGACCTAATGCTTCGATCCGTTCGGGCCCGTAACCGTCTTCGGTAGGAACAACGTGATGTGCTTGAACAAACGCTCGATGTCACCGAGCCACTCTTCTGCGACTGGCACCGTCGGAGCAGGTAGTGGCGACACGGCTCCCTTGGCTTTCTTCTTACCCAGCGACTCCAGGAACAGGAACAGCGCAAGCATCAAGTTGGTGAACCACGCGAGCGCAGCAACATAGAACACCGGGGTCACAGTCGCCGCGCCGTTGCGTACGCCGACCGCCGGCGAGAAGATCGGGATGAACGGACAACGGATCAAGAGTGCACCAACCGCGGAGGCCATCGCAAAGTCAAAGTAGAACACGCCCGAGGTGCAGCCCGAGCCGCACGCCGACATGGCGGCTTGCAGGGTGGCCCATCCTCCGCACAAGCCCTCCATGATCGGGGAAATGATAAAGAAGACGCTATGTGGCGTCGAAACGAGAATGAACATCAAAGTCCCTACGAACATATCCGTCAGCATTTGCAGGAGTGTTTCCAGACGGGAAGTACGTACGTCATGCAGGAACCGAACGTAGCAGCTGCTAGAACCATCAAACGTCCGTGCCTCTCGCCACAGCCGATCCACTCAATAGTGGTGGGAGCGGACAGAAGCTCCATAGTGGTCGTCACGATGATCTCAAGACGCGCAGCTCCAGCTTGGACAATTACGACGCTCGAAGGCGGTCGACGAGGGTACGTGAGGCTCCTGGGGGCTTCGGAGACACATGTGCGCACAGCGGGATACGCTACTCGCCGTCGGCCTACTAACCTCATCTTTGCGGGTGACCGGGGCGATGTGTTAGTTGTTGTAGACGAGGCATGATCGCCTGGGCCGGGAACTGTCTTCTTAGAGTGCGACTTCGACGCCGTCAATTGACCACTTGTTGTGCCTGCGGGGGCGGGATAGGAACCAGATGTAGGTCGTACAGAGCCGCGTCCACGCGAGGCTGAAGTGTTATATGAAGTATTTAGAAGAGTCTACGGCGTCGACCGCCTAGTATCACGAGGAGCTCGCCATGGATAAAAAAGGGGAAGGGAGGGAGGAAGGGGACCATACGGCGTAGTCCGTCTCGACGGCCAGCCGTGGCGCGATATCTCCTAATGCAGACCTCGGCCCCCGATCCGCCCTGTACCCACACACCTTCCTCAAGATGTTCGGTCGTCGGTCATTGGCTTGCAAATCCGCGCCGCAGCGGCCTGCCTGCTCAGGATGATGCCCCTAAACGGGATGAGGAAGAAAAGCTTGACGGTTGCAAGGCAATTTGGCTCATGTTTACTTGGGCGAGAGGACGAGCGGCGATCGGTAACGAGTCCATTCGACACGAGTCCCGACGCAGAACGGGGCGGCCAGAAGGTGTGTTGACTCGTGTCGGGATGAAAGGGGAGGGCGGAGGATAAGTCAACCCTGAGAGCAAGGAAAACACATGCCAAGTCAATGACGACAGAGAATCCCGCCAGCAGAGGCAAGTGTTGGGGAGAGGAATATGATGGGAGGAGGAAGGTGTAATGGGATGGGTACTCACCGACGAAGAGCGTCGACAGGTTACGTGGATCAAGGAGGACGTCCGGTGGAGACAAGGGAGCAGAACTGGGCATACCTTAGAAGGCGCGTGAAACAGAACGCGTCCCGACGGATGGTTCAACGAGTACGCATGAACATACAGCGAAGTGCGCTAAGACACATGGACTGAATCTGTGGAACAGACGTGAGCATGGATTCACTTCGACAAGAACTCGGCAAACCTTCTCCGGAGAGGCGGGCGGAAATGGGTTTACAAGCCGCGGAATGCAGAGTTGAGGTAGGCGTGAGCTGCGGCGCGGGATGAAATTTCAGCTTACCGTCATGGGCAAAGGTGGCCGTCGACGGCGTCCAGTAAAGCCCATGGTGGTGCACAAGGGCATACCAGTTGCCAGCAAAGGCCGGAAGTAAGAGCGAAGGTGCCATAGAACTAGAACCAGCGCAGCAAAGGAGAGCAAAAGGAGTATCAGAAGAATAGGAAAGATGCATGAATAGATCTATAACTCTCAGAGTCGGCAGGAAGGTCGTGTGACATAGCGAACAGCCTGCGCGACTGAAGAAGATGAACGTGCGGGGAGGGGCAGTCACAGCCGCGCGTTCATGCGATGAATAAAAGGGAAGTGGCAAGGAGAATAGACAGAAACCAAGAGAGAAGAAGAGTAGAAACGTACCGAAGGACTCACAAGAATCAGAGGATGAGCCGATCACATCGGCTGTCGTGAATGGAGGGCAAATGAAGCCAATCAATTGAGAAAAAGGGCTGAAGACGGTGCTGCAACCGTAGAAGGGCAGTAGCACAGCGAGGAGACACGCCGCGCCGGACCAAGAAGTGGAAGGGGAGTGGACAAAGACCAGACCGACGACTGGCGACGAGTGCCTACTGTAGTTGAACAGAATCACGTGATTGACGTGCGCGGGTAAGGTCGGGTTGGCCGTTGACCTTGCCACGTGCCTTCCATTGGTGGTCCTCTTGCGGCGGCCGTAGACGGCTACATCTCGCCACTTGCTAAGGCTCTGCTCTTCTGATGCCTATCGCCGGCTTTCCGCATAGAATGAGAGCAGCCGACATTGGAGCTCATCAAGCGATGCTAACACTTCAAAAGCACCGTGATCGTGCATCTCGAGTGTGTCGAATGCGTGCTGTGTATGGCTATTACGACGCTGACTGCTGGCATTTCACCAGTATTCGAGTCAGCGTCCTGCCTCGCGCGGAACTCTATTCGCGCGCATCCGCTTGAAGCCCCTTAGAATGTCCAGGCGTCTCCGAAACATCTGCGGGAACTCGAACATCACGAACATGCACCATGGAGCGGAGACTCCCGCAGGGGTGGACCACGTCCAGCGGTGGTCCCGAGAAGAGCTTCTGGTCCCGGTCACTCTCGCCGGTTCCGCATGAGGTACCAAGCCTGGTCTGGTCCAGAATAGGAAGTTGAAGACAGCTGCCGCACAGACCCTTCCTTCTGGTGAACATGCGATGAACAAACCTCAGCGTGAAGCGGTTGAAGGTGTGTACGACGATTCGCGCCACAGTCTTCCTTCGTCTCATATCATTCGCAGCCGTGGAAGCGCTTGGGAACCCGGACTGGTTGAATTGAGAGCGCTATTTTGGGGCGCCGAAGAGAGCTGAGACGTATGTCGATCTCATTTTCTTGCTCTTGTTCTTATCTTTGCTCACGTCTGTCGTAGCTTCCTTACTTCACCTGCAAACAACTTCCCGGAGTTCGAAAAACTCTACAACAAGGACTCTGTCGGTCACGCTGGTAAGCTGACTTTACGTTATCGCTGATACTGCAAACTAACATGTTGCAGGACCTGTCAGAATCTCGTCTGTAGGACCGTCTCCGGTGCTGAACTATCCTTCCTGACGGTGTGCTGACGTCGTACAATTCCGTGCTGTGACGACGGGGCTGGATGCTTCTCTGTGGAAGCACATGACGTTGACACGATCAATAATAGGGTGAGTACAGCTCCTGTGCTACCGTTGGTTGGCACATCTTACAATTGGTGTCTATCTTCCTAGCTCGTTGGCTCGGCACGTAACATGCATACAAGGGACAGTCGAAGCCACGTGTTGAACGGAAATACAGCTTGCCGGGCTCTTCAAATCTGCTGCGAACATCGATCCCAGGAAAGGCACTCGTAGCACTGCGCCGACACTGTCTATCTTCCTAGCTCTTGTCCGTCCGAACTTGACGGTGATCACCGCCGCATACGTCATCGCTACCGGCGTTGAGTCCGAACATGGCGGAGACGTGCACGTTGTCCATGCTGCCAAGGAAGTGATCCTGTGCGCGAGGTAAGGGGATCACGTTACGCTCGAAGCCCTATCATGTCTCATCGCGATCCTGTGCAGCACGGTCAAGTCCCCACATATCCTTGAGCTGAGCGGTATCGGAAATCGCAATGTATTGGAACCTCTCGGCATCCCGTTGCAGGTCGACCTTCCTTCTGTTGGTGAGAACCTGCAAGATCACCTGATCTTCACCAGCTGCGTCTTCCGTACGTACAACAATCCTCGTTTCATATGAATCCTGAGATACGACAACTCCGCAGAGATGAAGGAGGAGCACGGCTTCGTTACAAGCGAGACCATTACGTTGCCAGAAGTACAGGCAGAGCTCCAGAGCATCTAGTACGTACGCACCACAAGCAAGCCCCTGCGACGTGCGCTGACCTCGGGGCGTAGCGGAGAAGCAGCTGGTCCCCTCTCTTGCTTGCACTGGAATTACCTTCCTCTCGCTGCACATGTTCTCCGATTGGGCGGACGAGCTGATCGAGAAGGTTGAGAAGAGGATCGAACAGAACGTGGACAAGCTCTCGCCGGGTTTGAAGGAGCAGTACGAGTTGCAGCTGAAGTTGCTCAAGGACAAGAACGTGCCCGACCTCGAGATTGTCGTCTTCCCCGTCAACGTGCATCCTGCAGGTGAGTCTTCCACACCATGGGGCCGGATACCCAGTTGTGCTCAGCGCGTGTCAGGTCCTCTGAAACCGCACATCGGCCTCCTTCCCTCGATCGGTCACCCATTCTCTCGGGGAACCATTGTTCGTCGCGTTTTCTTCTTCATGTCATGCATGCGGAACTGACGCTGCCCGCTTCAGCACGCCAGCTCGAGTGACCCCAAGGTCCAGCCAACGATCGAGCCGAACTACCTCACGGAAGAGATTGACATAAACATCTAGTTGAATCTGCCAAGTTTATTCGGATAGTTATGCAGGATGGGCCTTGGAAAGATGTCAGTGAAGCGGAGCTGATTCCTGGCGCCAGTGTTACCGCGGACGAGCAACTGCGCGGTACGGAGAAAGCTTCTTGAGCTACTAGGTCTATCACTGCACGAGTACGCTGCAGCAGACTTCGTCGAAATGGACGTCGCTACTACTTGGCGTATGAATCTACTGTTCCCGTTTGCAGGAAACCTTGTTGACACGGTTGCAATTGTAGATTCGTCGGGCACGTGCTCGCTCGCGCCGAAGGAGAAGGGTGGTGTGGTCGACATCCATCTGAAGGCATATGATCCGTAGTCCTTACACTCAGCTATATCCTGACATCTCAAGCAGGTGTACGGCATGAAGAACATTCGCGTCGCTGACCTGTCTATTCTCCCTCTCCTTACTGTCTTCATACGCAAGGCACGGTTTGTCACATCTGGCAGGGAAGCGTCATTCTTATGGAGTCTGCTTCCCATATCCACCACCTATGGCATCGCAGACAAGGTACGTGACTGATAACATACACAGGTTCTGTCCTAACGAGTCGTGTAGCTGCCGACATCATCAAAGCGGACCATGGTATCTGATTGTTTCGTCAAGCATATAGTCACGGCTAATGGATCGCGCTCAGCTGCGCATGCCGCATGTTTCGTAAGCCAACCAGGGAGTTCCACTGTGCATGAGTTATTGCATGTGGTGGAAAAACGAGCACTGCTGCGCGTATGTATCATGTCCTCTTCATGTTTCCAAGAAGTGGCTAATCTGGGAAGTAGCACAAAGGCACTGCACGAACATGGCTGTGATGCAATCATGAACCGCCGATTGTGCCGTTTTGCTCATGTGAGGGCGACAGCGGCTCTCGTTGTGCTGATATGCGCTCGTACAACAGAGGACAGGGTTCATAGTCTTTGGTACTACTATGTTTACTACCCTGGTTGCGGATTAGGGACGCACCTGTCTTTCCAGGCTGGATCGGCCAGTCTCCCCATCCATTGAGGGAGAGGGATGTGGAGCCACAGTCAAGACTCATTGAATAGCCTTCCACGCGATCGCGGCGTACTCGGAAAAGTCTGTGGAGACCTATCTCTGCACGAGGTCGGCACTCCGATCTCCCGACATGTTGTGTGTGCGCAGGTATATGTTGTGGGACCCTGGTTCTCATAGCCGCCCACAAGGCTACCTCGCATCGTGTTCTCGCTTGGTGCTGAGCGCGTCCGAAATCGCGCTGGGTTTTATTGTGGTGGAATTGATCTTGGAGAAGTAAAAGCAATTCATACTTGTTCTTCGATTGTCGAGCCTCGCAAGGAGAAGGTATGTCTTATGGCCGCGATTAGACGATGTAGAGGCAAGGGATGTGAGCGCTGACGCGGGCTCCCTGAGAAGGCGAGTCAGCGCTGATGGAAGAACCTGCCTTCAATACTTCTTCTGTGCAGCGCCTGGCGAGACCGGTCTTGAGGTATCTCAGGCTACTCGCCGATGTGCTGCTGGGCTCGGCAAACTGGGGGCAGTGTTCACCAGAAGCTTGCTCCATATCGCGCCCAGCGCGTGAAGTGCGTGAAGTGGGTATCTTCGAAGTACTGGCGGTGTCAGATTTGGTGCGATTCTTCCTGAGTACGCCGTCATGGGTGTCGAGTGATCAGCCTTTCGGCTTTCGGCTAAGCTGAGTGCGCCCTCCTCTCTAATTTGCGATCCTCGCGAAGAAGCATATGACTTCCAGTGTAGGTGCCCCATCTTCGCTTCTCCTTCTACATGAAAACTGGTACTATATGAACACAGCACAAAACGCTTCAAAGAGCCTTATTACACAACTTCCAGTGCATTCAAAAGCAGAGTCACAGAGCCCGCCATGAACCACACTTCCACTGTCGAAGCATCAGCGGAGGCTTCCCTAATCCTCTCCAAAATCAACCGCGGGGGCACTATCGGCGTCGTCAATATTGGCGTCGCTATGTCTGCCATGTAAGCCACACAAGCCTAACTCATCGCATACCCACTAACCGATGCAAACACAGGGTGTATGGAGTCACATGCATTCAGACGTTTCAGTACTACCGCTCAGCTAAATCGAAGGAGGACTCGTTGTTCATCAAGGCACTAGTATGTGGGGTGGATGTTTCCTATTCCTGACCAATACTAACATTATCATCCTAGGTACCGTCTCTATGGTAGGCACCCGTCATCAACAGGCAACGATTGAGGTTGAAGTATCTCTCCAGGTTCCTAGACTCGGTCCATCAGGCACTCGTTATGCATGTTTCGTACTTCTATCTCATCACCAACTATGCAAACCCTGCCGCGCTGCTTCAAGCTGTATGGTATGTTAGAGCCCAGATTCTCTACCAGTTGATTCATTCCTTTCTCCGCAGGTCCATTCCGGTACGTACCAGTCGCCATGTACATGATTCATGATGTGTATGACGATTCATCATTTGCTAGAGCACAATCATTGTGACGGTACGAGGCAGGGTGCCATGCTTGATGTATCTTCGTCCTAATCCTGCTTCCTACTTCCAGGGCGTGATTGCCTTTTTGGCCGACGGGTTATGTCCATTCTTCATCACTGTGTGCCGTCTAGATGCTCACTTCTTAGTAGCTTCTTCCTCCTCAGGATTTGGCGGCGTATGTATCATGTTATCTCGTGGAAGTGTGATAGGCTGACAACCGCCAGTCAAGCGCAACATGGTCATCACCGCGAATTGCGTGAGTCGTTCTGAGTCTGAGTGCGTTTGTTTTCTGAACTTGCAACACAGATACTTGCCACAGTGGCCCATTTAGGTGAGCTTCATCATGGACTTCGCATCTACTAGTAACATGCCTGATGAGTTTTCAGCCACCAACCTGCGTAAGCGTTTGCCTCTGTTGATATCCTGATGATTTGGTATTCAACCCTCGAGACGTAGCCTACCCAATTCGGTTGTGAGTTCTCAAATCCTGAAGCCTGCAAAGAGCACCTATCTGTTATCCCCAGCTTAGAGTTCCGCTCACTTGTGGAGGCCGAGGCACAGCTCAAAGTATGTTCCTTCCCCCCTCTCTGATAGTTCGCTTCGACAAACACCGTAACCTCATAGGCGACGGGGACCGCGAGCTTAGCGGTGGGAGCTGCCGCCAATATGGTCATATCCGGAGCAATGGTATGGATATTGAGTCAAGAAAAGGCGACGACTCGTCGGTATGCACTCGCGATGGTAGTTCTCTAATTTACAGGCTATCAACACATCAACAGCTCCGCAAGCGTGCTTGAGAAGCTGATAATACTCACTGTTGCCAGTGGACCGCTGACTTGGTGGGCATCGTACCTCTTTCTCGTCCCCCGAAGCCGCTGTACTCATGTGCGTCACTCTTAGCATATTTGAGATTGCTGCTCTTGTCTCCGTAAGCACCCCATCTCTATAGCATGTGAGGTTGATGAGCTCTGACTTTTGACTAGTACCTGGCAGCTCAATCTCTGCTCTACAACCTGTTCTTTGAGATCATACTTGGAAAGCGTGAGTTCACCACCCTATGGCTTGCACCGCCACTCTAGTTAATCGTCTGCCCACCAGTGTACGTCAATGCAGTCTTGACGGCGTAAGTAAGGACTACGATGGCAGAAGTCTCCGACTGATATAACATCCATAGGCTTAACTCTCGGGCCTACGTCGGCAAAAAGTGGGATGGTGGCGTTGATATCAGCTCTATCTCGCTCCCCACATTTCAACTCAATGGCACCAGCTTTTCCAATAACCGGACTACAGATTCCGCAGCTGTAGGTGCCTATCATACACGAAGTTCCCTTGATTGCTCATATCACTTCAAAATAGATTACCATTGACGAGACAAACAAAGAGGGTGACAAGGCCAGTGCCACTGTCTGAACTCGACGTGAGGGCAAGTATGTTATCTCTCGCACGAGGGATATGTGTACTGACACATGTATATCTAGTGAACTATTCAATACTGATGATATATCAAGGAGATCGTACATCCATGCCGCGGAGCAGATGTTTTCATGTTTCCTATGAGAACGTAGGCGTCGGCTCTGAGCAATCTACATAGGCGTTCAGCTGTATTATGCCCACTGCTTGACATGTACTCAACATAGGCCGCACAAGTGTTTCTTGACTTTCTCTACGATGGCTTTACCAAAACAGATCTGGCTCGAATGATGTGGAATACCTGACTCCCGAGGGCGTTCCGGTATATTTGACGAATGATTGATCTCAATGTACATGGAGGAAGACGTCCCCATACTGCGGGAGTACAAGTCAAGACCGTAGTATCGTCTTAGACGTTGTGATATGGTCAAAGTGATTCCAAGAATATATCAGTCAGCTAAGCGACCCCTCAAGGGCCCCGGATGACATCAAATACTGTAATACAGGTCAATAGTATCACCGCTTTGAAAAACAGAATTTTTCAAGACGATGATACTACCTACCCACACTCTCCACTAGTCGTGGAGGAGAAATGACCTACACTGTGAATAATGCTACGTATGGAGTATATACCATCGGGGAACGATCAGAAGGCCGAAGCTACGATGGCCTCAATCATGAATACGCAAACGAGGTAGTCGACCACACATGGGATATGCTGGTCTCATCCATTACAAACTGGATTGAGATGCGGCATGGATCAGACAGATTGTACAAACAGTATTCAGACAATACTTACTATCGAAAATCATGCTTAAGCCTCATACTTGAAGGCGTTCAAAGTCTTGCACGTTCTCCACAGAGGATTCATGTATCAAGGTAATTTCTGTGCAGTATCATTGACAGAGTCAGCAGAGCGGTCGACTTAGGCCTGATACTCTGTTAGCGCACTGATGGACATTCGAATGGTGGAGCGCACATTACCTTCGCGTCATGAGGTTTCTATTCCTCGGATATTGCGCAGTCCCGCTATCGACTAGCTGGTGATCCAGTCATACCGAAAGACGGTGCGTCCTTGACCATATCACCGCCCTAGGTTCCCAGAGACGGAGAAGCATTGGGGCCTAGAGCATCGTGAGTGACTTCATCCATCTAGTGATCATTGGGATTACTCACCCCGTCATGAAGGTATCGACATACACTAAGCAAGCGACAGTGTGGGCTATTGATATGCAAAGAGTCACCTACGTGGCCTAGTCTTCGTTGCAGGAGCTCCACAAGCCGTGTTGATTAGCTCGTCCAGTTGAATGAGAGCCTAGGTCCGAGTCAGTAGTCTATATTTCGTCGTAAAGGAAACGATCTATAAAAACACAGGAGACATCAGATTGAATATCATACAGATCAAAGACCAGGACCGCTCTCACAGAACATAGAGCGTATGTCAAGGGTGGGGGGTCGGACGATCCGAAGAAACCGAGGTGAAGGTAGACGGCACTCCTGCAGCTGGGTCCCTCGAGGCTCCTGCAAGTCCCCGCAGCTTTGAGGCGCCTATCGCGTGCACGCTCGCGCAAACCTGCGGGATGCTGAGTCCTGGGCGAGCCGGACCGGAGTCGAGCTGTCACCCGCAGACGCCATCACTCCGTGCGAGAGCGGAGGATTACGAGTACAACCACCCACGCCTGTCGCTGCCACCCACAATTCTATGGGCGGATGGGGCGCGACTCCGGTCTTGTTTTCACCTGATGACCGAGCACATCTGGCAGCTCGCCTTACGTCTCCCCCTATGTCAAGTTGAAGTACAAGGTGTTGTGGATGTACGATTTCCTTGCACGCTCAAATAAATCACAGAACAGTAAGATAAGCAAACAGTCGAAGTCGAAGTTGGGTACCCAATCGTGATAACACAGAAAATATCCTGTGCAACTGACCCCACCACTGTGGGCTCGTGCTGGGCACCTAAAAGGCAATACGTGACCGGAATAGATAGTATGGAAGACTCACCAACGTCATCTCATATTCGCATGTCATCTCTGATGGCCTGTTCCGAAGCATATGACCATGAAGACTTCCGCCGAAGATTACCTGGCGCATGCATACAGTCTGAGGCCCATTCATCACATCCCCGGATGGGTACACACCTGAGGTTTTGATAGCGACAGTATCCTCTAAAATGACTTCGTTCCCTGTGATGAACGCGGACAAGAGGAAAAGTAGTCTCCGGCAGCGACCGGGTCTCCGGATGTACCATCACCCGCTTAACCTGTACACAAGGGTGAGATCCGCCCAAACCGCCAGAGGAATATGTTATTATGATAGAGAGCGGGCCAAGCAGAATCCAATGCGGCTTCTGGTCGAGCGGGCATGACATGCTGTTAGCAGCTATACAGCTCGACCGCATGGGCGCCGTTCTGCCCACCGCCGGATTTGTTTTCCGTTGTGGGTGCCCTTTGTTTGTCTCTGAGAAAATTTCGTAATTTGACCAGCGCCCGTTGCTTGATGGGATCGTGAAATATTATCAAATTCAATCGCGGATCGAAATCGGATCGAGAGCACTTGTACAAGATCAAACTGTGTCACTTTCATGATATTCGAGTGGAGTTCACAAGCCATCTACACTTGACTGATATGCTGCTCGTCGGTGTCCGAGAGGAGGCCTCACAACATGGGGGACGATAGGGTAGAACAGAGAAAGGACAAAGCTACTTAAATTACTTCGGCGCACCCAATGCATCGTTCTGAGGTAAACTGAACAGGTATACATATGACGCCCTACACCGCCTTCAAAGTTCCTGGCCCTTCTCCGAGAGGGCGATGAAGCCCTGCGAGCCGTTCTGGGGGTCAGCCTCCACATCGGACGATGTCATGTCTTGCTTCTCGAGCCCGTAGCGGCTGTCCGTCGCGGTATGCATGGGGATCTCCTTGAGCAGGAGAGTGGTGAGCAACCCGCCGCCCGCGAGACCGAGCATGACCTTCCAGACGATGGACATGGAGGTCGCAAACGCGATGCGGACCTCGGTCCGTAGAGGCTCTTCGAGCGTCGGGATGATGGGGATGATGGCGTAGGCGATCTCGACGCCTTCAGGGAACTGCCCAGCGAAGGCGGAGGGAAGGTGCTTCTTGAGTTCGTTCTGCAGGATAGATGCTGAAATAGTGATGCCCCACGTCTGTACGACGAAGGAGAAATCAGTGATGTGCACTGATTATGTATGGAATGACGTACCTGCGCGAACTGACGGAGGAAGTTCTGGAACGCGAGAGCTGCAGCAAAACGAGGCACAGGACTGGACGCAAGGATGGGAAAGACAGAGGCGGACCACTAGCATGCCAAGGCAGGGGTGAGTCGAGCTGTCTCAAAATCAACCAGAGACACTTACGATGATACCGATACCAGCCGCGGTGATGACCTGGAAGCCAGCCCACATGCCGGTCGAAGAATTGTACTTGAACAGAGTGAAGAGTCCAAAGCCGATGAGCATGAGGATCCAGCCCACGTAGTTTGCCGGGCGATACTTTGCCATCCTCTTCACGACTCCACCAGCGAAGAGTGATAGAGGAGCGCAAATGAGCGTGGTGGCGAGCATGTTGACGCTGGAGTGGATGGGGCTGGCGCCGAAGCAAGCCTGGAAATATACAGGAATATAGACTAAATCGCGTTAGCTATGCCGTTCAGCGGATTATGAAACAGGACACATACACATAGTCGACATGGTGACAATACCATGAAAGAACGTTGCAAGATATCTGGTACGTGAAGGTGATGAGTGAATCGAAACAAAAAGATGGGGGGTGCGTCTCACCCGCTCAAGGCCGTCCTGCTATGAAGGATGTCCAAAGGAGTGGTCGGTTCGCGTGGAACAAGGCTTTCGAATACAAAGAATGCAAGGATGAATACGACCCCGATGATGAGTGGTGCCAGAACATGAGACGAGCTCCAAGGGAAACGGATGCCTCCCCAAGTCAACGCCAGCAATGCAAGTGTCGTGCCAACGATGATAATCAAGTTACCACTACGAATGAAGTATTAGTATAGCACCGCTGTTAGCGACGATATGACTGACATCCAATCGACCCGTGCGAGCTTCTCTCTTATGGATCCTTCAGGAGTCCTCACACGGAGAAAAACTGCGACGAGGACGAAGGATATCCCCGCCAATGGGAGATTCAGGTCTATAACAGAGGTGTAGATGAAGATCTTCAGTAACAAAGCGAGAGGGGAAGGCTGAAATCCGTACAGAACAGCCATCTCCAAGTCGCATCTTGAGCAAGCGAGCCGGCCTTACCAAGGGTATGTTATATCGTGCTCTTCTCCAATTAGACGATGGAGTATTTACTCACTATGGTCGGACCAATAGCTCCTGCAAGTGCCCAAACGAGGATGAGAATACCTTGGTACGTTCCACGTTCCGCGAGCGACACCAAGTCACCAAGGATGATTGAACCCAAGTTCACGATGGCACCTCCGCCAATCCCTTGGACGGCTGAAAGCAACAATTTCACAATTGCGATAGCGGAAGAAGTAGAAAAACGTACTTCGAGCAGCAATCAGCCAATTCATGGTCTGTGCGGCTCCAGCCAGAGCACTTCCAACCAAGAAGATCGCAATGGACACCAGCATGATTGGCCGACGTCCAAAAACGTCCGCGAGGCGACCAGAGAAGGGTAGGATTGCTGTGCTAGCGAGGCCGTATGCCGACCCAATCCAGACGAAGTCGTCGCCACCATGAAGGTCGCTCGTTATTGTAGGGACTGCGGTCGACACGGCGGTCATGTCAAGCGCGCTGAGGAAATTGGCAACGACGACTGCAATGAAAGACAACCAGAAAGCTGAACCTTTCCCCGACTTGGGGGGCGGAGGGGCTGGCGAGGACATGGCGGTAGGAGATTGAGGTCGAGGGGCGGGGAGCGCTGTCGTGGGGGCGACGTGCGTGAGGGAATGACAAGGCGTCAGAAGGTTCGAGTGGAATATAAACGGGGTGCTTCGCGAGCATGGAACGCATGGGCTACTGAAGATGATTGAGGCGCCTAAACAGAGTCTACTAGCCCTTGTGTGAAGGCTGCAAACAGAGGAAACGATGGTGCACCTAGAGGACTGGAGCTATCAGTATCACGCGCTCATCAGCGGCTGTACTTGAGAACACATCGAAATGCCATGCTGCGTTCGGAGAGCAGACCTGCCGGCGAAGCATGCATACCGCTGGCGTGGCGCGGTGAGGCCGGCTGTACCGCCGATGAGCCCCATGTTCACACAAGTAGCCTAGAAGCGTGCATCAAGTCCCGCGGGAGGCGCGGTGGGCGTATGTGGGCAAGCAAGAACAATCAGAATAGCAGGATCCTGCAGTCATATACCAGTACAGAGCAACGTGGTATTGTCTTGCGCGTCGACAATATCGCAAGTTCAGACAAAAAGACAAGAGTCGGGTCATTCGTCATCATTCGAGGCTGCGGTCGAGTCGGTGATCAGACAATGACCGGTGAAGATGCTGGTTGGACGGGAGTAGAATGGGAATGGAAGCTCTCCGGTGTACACGTACTTCTAATCGGCCCATCGCAAGCAGTGTAAGTCCCATAAATGGGTTATCCGTCCCTAGAATTCCTTGCGCGCCTGATAACTGTTGTCCGATCTACCTGGTTTGTCCACCGTGAGCTGTCCGTCCTGAGGCCTCTGAGATGAAAACCTCCTCCTGCCTGGTTCCTTCCACAGCATCGTGAGCTTGGTAGTGCCAAATTGGAGGCAGAAAACCCTGTCTATGACCATGATCTGTATACTCATCACCCAGTTGCAGGCGCTGACAGAGACACCAACCCGACAATTCTCATTGCGCATGGCCTGGCCACAGTAAGTCACGGAACCTTCAGAGATGTTCACTCAGACTCCTCCAAAAGCTCTGTGCTTTCTGTTTTACACATAGACACACGAAATCTGTGTTGGAATCCTGGCGTCAAGATGGCGAGCTCGCGGAACGAGCGCCACAGGTCCCGCCCCCCGACGGATACCCGCGCCCTTATCTACCCCTATTCTACTGTGTATATAAGGTCTATTGTATGTACTATGTACGGCACGCGTTTGCACCGGCCAAACGCGAATCCCATTTGTGCCCGCTTGCCCTCGAACTTCTACACAAACGCGTCTCCTCTGCCCGAAGGATAATTCGAGGCACTGCCTAGTGGGGCCGAAGCCACTCGACGATCCCGCGAACCGACGACCCATGACGACGACCGACCCGACGACAACGACCGACCCGACGACGACCCCGTGCACCCCGACGACCCCGTAACCGTGACCGCCCCGCGCTCCCCGCTGCTCCCGCCCCGATGGCACCGCCCACAATTGCAAAGCTCGCCGACGACAACTACGCCGAATGGGTTATCGGCATGGAGGCCCTCCTTGTTCGCAAGGGTCTCTGGGAGGTTACGAGCGCCCCTGCTGATGAAACCCGCCCTCCGGCTCTGATAACACGAAGGCTGTGCGTGCCTGGCGTGCGAAGATCGCAGAAGCGCGCGCCGAGATTATCTTG